GCATTGACAGCCCCTATATTTTTCTCAACACAGGATAATTTTAAAGTGATTGTAAATTGTTACATATACCCAGTGAAGTGACTAGCCTCAGGTGATACACAAATGAAACAAACCGGTAAAGTTTATGTAGTTTGATCTAAAGCAGTCTTTCCTCTACATTAATTAAAAATGCAGAATTTACACAGGATCGCTCAGCTCTGCAAAGCAGGGGGTGGGGAGCTGAAGTTACATCAGCAAGGAGAGCTCTGAGAGCTGATTGAAGGTAAGGGACACACACCCCTCCACACAGAAACAGAGCTGAGGTTGTCCATCACAGTCTGTGTCCTCCCCTGTCACCATTTTTCTCTTGGTGTAAGGAAAACTCATCAGAAGTGACCCATGCTATTGGAGGAATGAGGCAGTGGACAGAAATTACACTTAGTACTTTGGATTGAGGCAGGCACACACTATAGAGGAATGTTTTGTTCATATTTCATGTCTGAGGTTTACAACCACTTTAAGGTGAAGACATTTTTTAATCATGTCAATGAAAATTTCATGAGACTGGTCACACCTAACAAGATAAAACCATCAAGGGATACTTATTTATACAAAAGCATAATGTTCTTCTGTTGGGTCACAGATATGCATAACTCTTCCAAGGGTAATCTGTCAGATTACTTCTGCTTTTTTGTGTGTTCATAGCAGTTTTATTTCAGGTATATTGTAGCAAATTAGTTATCTGTTAAATTGTTTGTTCTATCATGTCAAAAGGACAGGATATTCTCACCACAAGGCTGACTGAGAAAGGGAAGTGTCAAAGTATGAACTATACGTGCAGCTATCTGCACTTAAAGCTTGTGTATCGTTAATGAAAGTATGTAATCTTTAATCATCACCTGATTATGTCAGTCATACCCTATGTCAGAGCATTCCCGCACTAGTTCACATGCTCATTGTTTAGAAATAATGTAGTAATGTACTCCCACTGGTCTATTACGAGTCAGACAGAATTTGTCTTGCCTATTTATAAGTATTTCAAATACTTAAGTTTTTTTATGTACATAATGTTTATATGGTATTTATTTTTTATGTCATAATTTTAAATATAATTCTAGTTCGTAATGGTCAGCTGCATTTTTGTTTTTTTTTGTTTTTCTGCATCTACAGAACTATAGGACAAATTCCCCAGTGAGGACTCCGTATGTAACAACTTTTACAGATATGGAATCTCTTAAAAAAAAAAAAAAAAAAAAAAAGCCTCGCCTTCACCAACCCCTCTAGTTTATTTTGTACGGTCAGGTCCATAAATATTGGGACATCGACACAATTCTAACATTTTTGGCTCTATACACCGCCACAATGGATTTGAAATGAAACGAACAAGATGTACTTTAACTGCAGACTGTCAGCTTTAATTTGAGGGTATTTACATACAAGTCAGGTGAACGGTGTAGGAATTACAACAGTTTGCATATGTGCCTCCCACTTGTTAAGGGACCAAAAGTAATGGGACAGAATAATCATAAATCAAACTTTCACTTTTTAATACTTGGTTGCAAATCCTTTGCAGTCAATTACAGCCTCAAGTCTGGAACGCATAGGCATCACGAGACGCTGGGTTTCATCCCTGGTGATGCTCTGCCAGGCCTCTACTGCAACTGTCTTCAGTTCCAGCTTGTTCTTGGGGCATTTTCCCTTCAGTTTTGTCTTCAGCAAGTGAAATGCATGCTCAATCGGATTCAGGTCAGGTGATTGACTTGGCCATTGCATAACATTCCACATCTTTCCCTTTAAAAAAACTCTTTGGTTGTTTTTGCAGTATGCTTTGGGTCATTGTCCATCTGCACTGTGAAGCGGCGTCCAATGAGTTCTGAAGCATTTGGCTGAATATGAGCAGATAATATTCCCGAAACACTTCAGAATTCATCCTGCTGCTTTTGTCAGCAGTCACATCATCAATAAATACAAGAGAAGCAGTTCCATTGGCAGCCATACATGCCCACGCCATGACACTACCACCACCATGCTTCACTGATGAGGTGGTATGCTTAGGATCATGAGCAGTTCCTTTCATTCTCCATACTCTTCTCTTCCCATCATTCTGGTACAAGTTGATCTTGGTCTCATGTGTCCATAGGATGTTGTTCCAGAACTGTGAAGGCTTTTTTAGATGTCGTTTGGCAAACTCTAATCTGGCCTTCCTGTTTTTGAGGCTCACCAATGGTTTACATCTTGTGGTGAACCCTCTGTATTCACTCTGGTGAAGTCTTCTCTTGATTGTTGACTTTGACACACACACACACACACCTACCTCCTGGAGAGTGTTCTTGATCTGGCCAACTATTGTGAAGGGTGTTTTCTTCACCAGGGAAAGAATTCTTCGGTCATCCACCACAGTTGTTTTTCCGTGGTCATCCAGGTCTTTTGGTGTTGCTGAGCTCACCGGTGTGTTCCTTCTTTTTAAGAATGTTCCAAACAGTTGTTTTGGCCACGCCTAATGTTTTAGCTATCTCTCTGATGGGTTTGTTTTGTTTTTTCAGCCTAATGATGGCTTGCTTCACTGATAGTGACAGCTCTTTGGATCTCATCTTGAGAGTTGACAGCAACAGATTCCAAATGCAAATAGCACACTTGAAATGAATTCTGGACCTTTTATCTGCTCATTGTAATTGGGATAATGAGGGAATAACACACACCTGGCCATTGAACAGCTGAGAAGCCAATTGTCCCATTACTTTTGGTCCCTTAACAAGTGGGAGGCACATATGCAAACTGTTGTAATTCCTACACCGTTCACCTGATTTGGATGTAAATACCCTCAAATTAAAGCTGACAGTCTGCAGGTAAAGCACATCTTGTTTGTTTCATTTCTAATCTATTGTGGTGGTGTATAGAGCCAAAAATGTTAGAATTGTGTCGATGTCCCAATATATATGGACCTGACTGTATTCATGTGCCACAGTTATTATCTGAGCCTTCAGAGCTCCACCTGTTGGAGATAGGTGGCATATATTAAATGTTCATAAGCAATATTTATTATTTACCTACTTAAAAATGTTACATACTCACACCTGGATTTGTCTGCATTGCTAACTGTTGAATTGAAGTGTACACATTCTGGCATAATTATAAGCTTTCATTTTGGAAAGAGCAAGGGAGGTTTTTTAAGTCCCTGTCAGTTTTGTCATCTGTGTCCCATTCGGAAGATTTCCCTTTGTTTCCTATCTTAGTCAACACAAGAAGTGAGGCAATTCTTCCAAAGTGAGGGAATTCCTAGTTGTCACCGGGGTCACCAGAACTATCATTTCCATTGGAAGACTTTCTCTCTATTCCTGTTCTGGTGACAAACACAAATTTGTAGTAGTGCACTGAAATACAAATTCTGGTACCGAAACCAAACATTCAGGATGCACTTGGCCGAAAAACGAAACAGAAATGGACAGTTTTTAAAATGTTATATATTTTTCAAACACAATTTAAAAAAAAATAAAACACTTTTAATGATTAAAAAAAGAACACAATGTATATCTCAATTTTTTTGTAAAATATGAAAGATGTTACACCGAGTAAATAGATACCCAACATGTCATGCTTTAAAATTGTGCACGCTTGTGGAATGGCGTCAAACTACAGTACTTACAAATCTCCATGGGTGATGCTTTAAAAATGTCTACAGGTTGCCAGTTTAAAGTTAGAGGAGGTTTAGTGCTAGAATTATTGTTCTTGCTCTGACGTTCGTGGCGATCCCTCATGTGTGGTTTGAACCCCGTTTACATATGTGGACGTGGCCTACATATGCATTCATTACTATGCGGGGGGACAGGGGTACATTAAACTTTTTTTTTTTTTTTTTTTTTAATTACATTTTTTTTACACTGTCCCTTTTTTTTAAAAAAATAAAAACTTTTTTTTTTTTTTTTTATTCCTATCACAAGGAATGCATGCATCCTTTGTGATAGAAATAAGCAGTGGCAGGTTAACTTTATGGAGAAATATGGAGTCAATAAGACCCCACATCTCTCCTCTACAATATAAAGCATTGATCTAGTTCTTTAAAAAAAAAAATGGCCTTCCTCTGGAACCGGAAGTGACGTAGTGATGTTGCTTCAGTCCTCCAAAGGCATAGAGATGAGTGGAGGCCATATTTCCTTCACTTATCTCTATGCCCAGCCCCGGATCGTGCAATGGTTTCTCGGGTAAGGATGAGGGACGGCAGGGTTATTTTTTGCAGCTGCATTGGTGCTTATCTTCATATCGGCCATAGGCCGATGGTGTTTTCAGCCGAAACGTTTCAGCCACCCAAATTTCGGTGCATCCCTAAAAATTTGTGATTTTATTTCACTTCTAAGCTGATGAAGGTAAACTGGGCAAATTGGCAAGGGTGAATCTCCATAATGGGGGCACAGACAGCAATAGAGACCTGACAGGTGTTCTAATCCCTCTCCACACTATCCAAAAATTGCCTTATTCTATATTAAGCAAAAGAAAAGACATCAATCTTTTACACTTAACATTTCCTTAAACTGCAAGTTGTCATCTATACGCAAGTTTTATTCTGATAATTACAACCAATAGATGTATGAACTGCTGTTCTATCAACAAAGGTTGGGCACTTTCTACCATAGCCTTATATGAATTGACAGTGACAGGGCAGTTTCTTCCGTGTACCTTCTTCAACAATTTTGTAGTAGAGTGGTAGAACTTTGAACATCACCAGGAATTTACAGATCAGAACCGTTGACACCAAACATTTTGTACAAGTCTAAAAAAGTAGCTTGCCCTATGGCAGCCTATGACTTACCATAATGGACTCTTTTTAAATGTACTTGTGTTTGGGTGAGGTCTGTTAAGTGTAGGTTTGTTACCACACCTAATTGCATCTGGTCCAATATGTTTCCATTCTTAAGTCTATTAGTTGCAAGGGTCCCTTTTTAAATTGACCAATTTTGGAGCCTATTGGTTTTATATTGATTTTTTTTTTTTTTTGTATTTGCTAGGACCTGGTCAAAAGCCATCTGATGTACGCTGTAAGAGAAGAGGTGGAAGTCCTGAAGGAACAAATAAAGGAATTAATAGAGAAAAACTCGACACTTGAACGTGAGAATGCACTGTTAAAATCCCTTTCAAACAGCGATCAGCTGTCACAACTGTCGACCCAGGTTGGCGTCAGCCAACAACAGCCTCCAGTGACTACAGCTCCTCTGACTGCTCCGCAGACCGCACACCCTCCACAACAACCGAATGTCTCTTCTGCATAAACTGTACAAACTGCTTTCTCGCCTTGTTCAGCTAACTGAAAGCAATCTGTCCTTGTGTGCCACTGCTGATCTTTCCACTTCAAAAATGAGAAAAACGAAAAAAAGAGCAAGTAGCCATGCTTCATTTTGTGTGTTTGGCCTTTTCAGTATTAGACAATCGTACTCCCTGATCTCTCATTCTGAGAGAGGTGATACCTTTTGCATTGTGTATCAGGTATTAACAGAGTTAGAAAGGTGTGTGTATGTATATGCACACACAGTTAATTGTGCTCCTAGTGTATGTATATGCTATTATAGCCATACACACATTATATGCACAGATGCATTATCTCAAACGCATGAATCCTTGTTTCAAGGACAGTAAATCCATGAATGCTGGCAATAAATGTTAACATGTGTAACCCTTCTTTCAGTAGAAGGGACACGCAGCATTTTATGTCATAGAAACCCTCTAGAGAACAAGGGAAAAACCTGCATGTAGAGTTTAACATGTATTTTAAAGAGACCAGACCATATAGTGTCCTAAAAGTCACCTGAAAAATGCATGCAAGGTAGCATTTTGAGTGTCGATACCTAGTTCTTCATGTACAACATTGCATCCTCTGCTCATGTTCTAAAAAATAACTACCTTTAGATGGCTAATCTTGTGATGCTTCTTTTAATGCCCTTTGTGCTCATTTTAGTCATCGCTGGTGCACCCTGAGGATAGACTTAATGGTATTCCAAGAACAGGATGTAAATGTAGATAGAACAGTGCAGCTACTTTCACTGCACATGGATACAGTGTCTATGCTTGCTAGTCTGTCTACGGGCTTAGTATATTTATGCCCATACAGTGAGCATAACATTTTACAAAGAATCTACTTCATAACAATGTAGGTTTTTTTTTTTTTTGTTTTTTTTTTTTCGCTTTTGTGGTTTGTTTAGAAAAGTACATTATTAAGTGTATATTGGATTGTTAAACACAACTACTGTGTACATCTGCATGTTAAAGGTGCCTATTTACTATGCTGAAATGCTTGTTTGTATTCACAGCTGTTTGCACCTTATAAACATATGTAAAAGAGAAAAAAAACAAAACAAACAAGCAACAGCAGCTATGTTAAGTGATCTTGCGAATAGCTAATGATGCAGAGTAAGTCAGTTTTAAAATGGGTTTTCTATAACATAAAATGCTGCTTCAAACAGTTAATCTCTGGTATTCAGCAAGGGGTCTTATGGAGCTTTTATGGCTCTCCCAGGGAGTGTTTCCTTTAGATCATACTCTGAGCCATGTTTTGTCAATTCTTTGTAAGCAAATCTAATCATTGCGTTCGTAGTAAGAGCCACCATTCTTTAAATATAAAGTAATATTTTGTTTTGCCTTTTTATTAGTTCATTTAAGTTTGTGTTTTATTTATTACAGGGCTGCTATTTTCATAATGTGTATGAACAATGTCACAGACACTCTATTTTATTTTATTTCCTTATCTAGAGAATAAATGTAAATCTATCATAAATCGTAGAAGGGGAGGGATTGCATTTAGTTGGGAAAATGTTTTGGCAATAACTGAGCATACGTATCCTGGCGTATATAAATATATATCTAACACTAACGGCAATCTACTTTTCTGGTATTTATTTTACAGTAGAGCAAAGATCCAATTTGAATGTACATTTTGTAAAGAGTGTAAGTATGGATCCATAATGCGCCTGTACAGGAGAGCAACAGTTGTGATACAAAAAAATAAATGATAGATTAGCTATTTTGATGAAGAAATTTTTTTTGTTCATTTCTCTTGTTTGCGACAGAGGAAAATTGCCATGATTCCTATGCTTTTTAGACAATTTCTGTGAATTATAATTTTTTAGGGTGGGATTTAAAAACTGTGAAATTGTTCAACCTACTTTGTAACCAAAGAAGCAAAGATGTGTATTTTTTTTATTTTGTTATGCACATTTTCTGTATTTTTATTCAGTGTTCTCTAATCACATTTTTTCTTTCTCCTCCCCCTCCCCACCTGCCCCTCCCCCACCTTGCTGTTTAGCATGATCTGCATGACCTATGACCTGTAATCTCTGAACCACTTTCGTACCTCAAGTTTATTTTTGTTTTGTCCAGCACTCTTTTTATTGTACTATGTAATCTGTGAAGCGCGTCCAATAAACAGAGCAAACCGCTAATGTCAGTTGAGATAAACTAGTGTACACTAGTTGTCATATGGAAACAGTGACATGAAGTGAGCCATCTTTTGTTCATTTTAAAATGGTGTTATAAATTTCATATGCAGAAAACCAAGTTTTGTTACATTGCAGATTTTAATGTATTGAATAAATTCAACATGCAGATTAATTGCAGTGTATAAGGAGTATTTACATTTGAGACTGAATTGTACATTTCAAAAATACATTTTCGGGAGCTTTTTTTTTTGTGTGTAGCAACAAGAAGTCTGTCAAAATATTGTAAAAAATATATATTTTCACATTTTTTCCTGAAATTATTAAATTGTAGTTTTGCTGAAATAAGTGACTCAAGAATATCTTCTAGTATACTGCATCCCTGTAGTCTGGATACAGCAGTCACTTCAGATTTAGGAAGAGAAGATTATTATGTAAAGAGGCAGAAGTTACAAAGCAACTGGAATTTAGAGCTAATGCATTGTAAAGTTGCTGGGAAAAAATGCAGAGCTCCAGTTTTGATTTACATGGATAAAGCATCTTAAGATCAAATTTATTTTGTATGTGTCGGATGCAGTATTTTCTATCATTCTGTTTCAAGTTAACTAATACAGCTACAATCACCTCAAGCATCTGCCATTCTGGAATCAAATACAGGTACTTGGTAAATACAGAATCTCCTCAGTCGTTTCAATTATATTTAAAAACTGCACTGGCATAGCCAATGCATAACATCAAAATTTAAAGCAGCTGTGTCATGAAGTTAAAAATAAATAACTGCAGAACAAGAGGGTGTATTCTTTCCTGTCCTGCCACACTTTTCTCCGATCTTTGTTCTGTTTAATACCTGCAGTCTGAGTCCCCTGCCATGTGCTGTGGTTCCATTCAGTCATCCTACCTCACAGTGGACACAAGCACTTCTGAAAGTGTTAGATATTGATGCCATAGCTTTGCAAAACAGGTTAGACTGGAGGAAGGGGTGGGGTGAGTGTGAGTATAATAGACCCATTTCTTGCTTGTCCATTGAGGGGACAAATGAATTTATATACTGTCGGGTTGGCAGATGATGGTTGTCTTCTTTATTCTTTGCTAGCATTTTTTCCCCCCAATTGATGTTCAGGACTGCATGTGAGAATCGGTGACTCTTGCACTGGGACAGAAAATACAAAATGCATTGCCAGGTCACATTTTAGGAGGGGGGGGGGTGTATCTGATGTGGTAGCATCTGTGTTTTTATTTCCATCCAGAGAACTGGAACTTGGGAAGTACCTGATTCCCCTGGGGAACTTCTGGTGATCTTTTCTTCCTTCCTTGTTCTCAAAGACCATTCCATGGTGTGGACAGAAGTTGGCCTGGTCCCCCTTTTTCTTGTGAACTGTAAGGTCACAAATCCTGTATGTACCCCCTTTTTTCAGGCTTCATCCCCAGCACCAGCAATACACAGGTAAACCAGAGGTTTTTACATTTGTTTGCTTAATTGGTTTTACTCAAGGCATCTTCCATGGCAGCACCTGAGTGAGGGCACCTCTTACCTGAAACAGGAAACACTGTTCTTAAAATAAAAAAAAAAAAAAAACAGCCAACTTACACTTGTTCCTCAGTTAAATGTGCTTCTTCCAAACCAACAGGAGCACCTAATGTTTCAGGTATTTTATAATGGTCTGTTTTGCTTGTTACAGGAGGCTACCTTGTCTGGCTGCCTTCCATGGCACCTGTGTGGTAGGCAGGGTCCAAACAAGGGTTCCTATGGGATATAGAGGATTTTTACCTCAAATATTCCTCAAAATGCAAGCAGTCCAAGGTTTTACCTCTACTGGAAGGTCTGCAACCCGCCCCCCCAGCTGAAGTTTTTGTGGTGAACCTTCCCCTGTGCCTACCTCCTGTAGTCCAAGCATATCACTGCTGTATGCAATGTCCTGAGAGCTGGAGACTGGAGTTGCATCTTAAGATGCTTTATCCATGTATATCAACCTCCTCAGGCTGGGGGTTTGTGTGTAGCAGGTAGCGGTGAGCTGCTCATGTGTGGTCACTTCTGGTCTAGTGAATGCTCCTGAGTGAGGACAACAGTCTGGAACATGAAGGGCAGATGTGGCACATATACTAATACAGGGCTTGACAAATCCAAAACACCAGGTTTCTACGGTGACTAGAAATTGTGTTCTGGCTTCTAGGTTTACACACTGCCTCTCCCTGACTTCAATGCAAAAACTCCTGTCAATAGTAATCCTAAGTGAACACTTATCTCCGCATGTCACTCTACTATCACTTGTGAGTCTGCTACAAATTTGCACAGGATCCTTTTCGTAATGGTACTCGAAATGCAATGCATATGAATATCATCTGTGTGAACCACCTCAATAGGATCATATAATATATAGCCTGTCATGTGAATCTGTGAGTTTGAAAATGCATCCAGATGGCATATATGTGAACTAGGGCGGCTCTGTTCACACCAGGGCATTTTGGGATTGCAGCAGGATAACTGTAATCTCAAAACACAGGTTCAGTTGCCATTATTTTCACTGGTGTCTAAAATGTGGTGCAGTTTTGCTGTGATTGTCATGTGGCAAATTGCATCATGTAAAGCTTGTTGACCAAAAGTTGCCTTGTCCTGAGTACTGACAACCCACTCTACACTAAAAAGAATGGCTCCTAAAATTCTTTGCTGACTTAGTACAGGGCTTGACAAATTTGCTTTGAATCTAATACAGAGACTGGCTAAGCACATCATGTGGTATGTAGCACAACCATACATATTGTGTGGCAGCTGAGGGAGGGACTAGAGCATTTAAAAAGGAGGATGGAGCATAGCATTTTTTGTGCTGAAAATGTCGGATGATCCA